ACACAGAACAACAACACCCGGACTCTGTTTTAATCATTCTCGGGGACTTTAATAAAGCCAATCTCTCCCGTGAACTGCCAAAATACAGACAGCACATCACATGTCCCACCAGAGACAGTAATATATTGGATCACTGTTACACCACAATAAAGAATGCATATCACTCTGTCCCACGAGCAGCTTTGGGGCTCTCTGATCACTGCTTGGTTCATCTTATACCGACCTACAGGCAGAAACTGAAATCAGCTAAACCTGTATTAAGGACTGTAAAAAGATGGACTAATGAAGCAGAGCAAGACTTACAAGCTTGTTTTGACCTCACTGATTGGAGCATCATATCACCGTTATTGAAAAAAATTATATCGCGATACATATTGATATTGAATTATTGTCCAGCCCTAGCTGAACATAAAAGAAGATATTTTGAAGAATGATGGTAACCAAACAGTTGGCGGTCCCCACTGATTTCCATAGTATGGAAAAAATACTATGGAAATGAATGGGGATCAGTAACTCTTGATGGTGAGTGAATGACAATTTTTATTTTTGGATGAACTATCCCTTTAAGTAGAAAGTAATAAAATTTTTCCTTTCTTTCTACTCCTTTCCATAATGTTCCAATGTAGCATAGACTAAAACACTGTTATGTACAATGCATTTGTGAATGGTCACCTGTTTCCCTAGTTATCCTAATAACACTTCACATAGTTTTATACACATTAAAGTGGAAATAAAAGAGGTAATAAGTAGTACAGCAGGATGTTTGATTGCATTGCAAAATTTATCTGTTTAAGAATGTATCTATTGACAAAGCTGACAGACAGCAAGCTCTCTGGGAAGCAGTTTTTATGCAAGATGAAGGAAAGCATATAAGCCAACAACATGAACTTCAAATTCTCAGAACAACATACAAAGACGCAACAATCATTACAAAATTCAGAATATGGTCTATCAACCATTTAAGAAGTGCAGAAATGACAAATGGGGTAACAGCTGATGCAAACTACTTCAATTCCTTTGTACAGTTTCCTCGATTAAAAAAAAAAAAAAAAAAGATTAGACTTGTGCAATAATTACCTTACTTGGTTTTAATGTAATTCTTTGTGATGTAGGAATCTAAACATGTTTCTAAATGCGGATTCAATACAGATCAACTGTCACTGTTCTGTCTGACATAAAAATGTCTAGATGTCTCAGTGAAAGCCACAAGATAATTTCACTTCCCCATATAGAGTTAAAGAGATAGTTCACCCAAAAATGAATATCCTCACATTTATGTTGTTTCAAACCTGCATGAATTTCTTTCTTCTGCTGAACATAAAAGAAGATATTTTGAAGAATGCTGGTAAACAAACTGTTGCTGATAGCCATTGGCGTACACTCTATGGAAGAAATATTATGGAAGTCAATGGCTACCAGCAACTGTTTGGTTACCAGCATTCTTCAAAATATCTTCTATGTTCAACAGAAGAAAGAAATTCATACAGGTTTGAAACAACCTGTTGTAAATGGTGACAGAAACAGAGTATACATTTTTAGATGAACTCTCTCTTTAAGCAGACTCACCACACTGCTAGAAAGAGAGAGAGATAAGAGGAAAGAGAGGAAGAGACTAACAGACAGTGAGAAAGAGGCAGGAAGAGATGCTGAAAAAAAAGCTCACTTTTGCTGCATTTTATACTGCTTTAAATGCGAGACAGATTTAGAGTAGCACCAATGTCTGAGTGAAAATTTGCTCTGCTATCTGGTAAGTGCATTCATTTCATTACATTTTTGATAAAAACAGTAGAAGAAATTAAAATATATATGTTTTGGAAAATGAATGTATGAAATGAATCCCAAACATTAAAAAAAGTTTCTGTAAAGCTTTAATCAAATTTTATGGTGACCATGTGTGAAGTTATTTAGATTTTTTTCTTCACTATCAATGGCCTTCAACGAAATATTAAAATTTCTGCAAAGTCCTAAAAACTTAGCAAGAGCTAGATTTATATATATTTGATCATACGGTAACACTTTACATTAAAGCATTAACTAAAATTAAATAATGAACTATAAATTTGTTACAGTATTTATTCATATTTGTTAACATTAGTTATTAATAAAAATACAACTTTTTATTGTTAGTACATGTTAGCTCAGGTCCATTAAATAATGTTAACGGATACAACTTTTTATTTGAATAATGCATTAGTAAATTTTCAAATTAACATTTACTAAAATTAATTCATGATTTACTATTCTTCACTGTTAGCTCATATTATGAACTAATGTACTTACCTAATGTTAACAAGTGGAACTTTATTGTAAAGTGTTACTGATTGTATTTCATTTCAAATATGTACGCATTTGTCCTTTTTTCTAACATGAAATTGAATAAATAAATATTCACAAAATATATTTAAAATGCTCACTTAAGATAGTCATAACATATAAAGCAGTTTTCATTCAAAATAAATGTCAAAATGCCTCTTAAGCAAAGCAGAAACACACAACAGAAACATGGAAGAGAAACAAGCCTTATACATGAAAAAGGGAAATAGCTTAAAAACTACACAAGTCAGTCTACACATACTTACTACAAACAACAATATCAAGAACAGAATTACTATTTATAGTAAAATGTACACTATCATTCAAAGGCATGAGGTCAGTAACAATTTTTAAATGAATTAATACTTTCATCAAGGACAAATGAAAGTGACAGTACAGACAGTCATTTTATAATAGTACTAATTAAGTTATAGTATTAAGTTATAATGTGACAAAAGATTTCCAAAAAAGCAAGAGGAGTGATCGCAGGAGTGGTATTTGTGTTTGTGGTGTGTTTCAGCCCATACCATATAGACCTTTTGCAATACATGATCCGAAAACTTTTCTATGCTCCAGACTGCACGGAGCTACAGTCCTTTCAGATATCCCTGCATATTACAGTGTGTCTTATGAACTTAAATTCATGCCTGGATCCTTTTGTTTACTTTTTTGCATGCAAAGGCTACAAGCAGAAGCTGATGAGAATGATGAAGTGGCAGGTTGGCACCCACTTCTCCAGTGTTGGAAGAATCTCGCCTGAAAGTTCAGGCATAGGTGATGTGCTCGGCACACGCCGCAACACCAGAATAACAATGAACACTATTAGAGAAGCTCAGTAAAACAATTATCAACAAACACCAACATAAGGTGATGAAAAGTGACCACAAACACATATGTGGGGCCACAACTGAGACTTAAAAGCCAAATACAAAGCTAATTAGCCACAAGTGGCCTAAAAGTCACAGACAATTTGTCTCTCCTGATTTTAAACAGCACACACTTCATGATACAGATGGACGCTTGACAAGCACTGGCATCAAAGTGGAGAAAGAAAAAAAAAACCTGATGCAAAAGACTATAATCCATGAAGTAATTCATTAAAAAAATGTAACTGTTAACGGGACAGTTTACCAAAAATGTATATTCTGCCAATATTTACGAACTCGTTCTAAAACTGTAGACTTTCTTTCTTTTATGAAACATAAAATAAGATATTTTGAGAAGTGTCTCACCAGCCTGTGTTTTAGGTGTTTTTTTTTTTTTGGACCAATGGACACCAATAGGGATGCACCAAAATGAAAATTCTTGGCCGAAGCCAAAACCGAACAAAATTAAACACTAGGCCGAAGGTTTTTTCCCCATGTATTTTGCCCATTTGTTTTTCAACAACGCATAAATTAAAAAGCCAAAAATTTACTTTACAGTTTTTTCTTGCTTTTCAAAGAAAAAAATCAATTACAAAACAACAATTTAAAAATATTTAACACTGAACATTTTAACATTCTAGCAGACACTACAACAAAGCACAATTTAACTTAAAATTAATAAGTTAGTAAAATAATCATTTTTGGCCATCAAACCCCCTTCTTGAATAAGGCATGTATATATATATTTTCTTACTGTACAATTAAAAGCAGCCTTGCTGAGAAGAGACTTCTTTTAAAGGGGTCATATGATGCGATTTCAAGTTTTCCTTTCTCTTTGAAGTGTTACAAGCTCTTGGTGCATAAAGAAGATCTGTAAAGTTGCAAAGACTAAAGTCTCAAATCCAAAGAGATATTCTTTATAAAAGTTAAGAGTCAACCACGCCTACCTAAAACGTCTCGTTCTAACACGCCCACACATATCTATGTCACTATGTGGAAGTATTTGCGTAATGCGCCCAAATGTGCATGCAGAGAAAGAAGGCGTGGTTTCAGGAACGGACCTACAATAATGTACAGTATTTGAAAAATACTATTAAAAAAACATTAAAGCATGTCAACATATTCTGTTAAACCAAATAATTATCTTTAAAACAGCATCATATGACCCCTTTAAAACATTAGAAAATATTACAGACCCCAATTTGAACGCTGTGTGTGAATGTTATAATAAATGTATTAACAGAGCTGTTGTAATTATTATTATCATTATTATTGTCTTACTTTTTATTTTATTTTACAGAACAACAGTCAAATTACAATACTAACATTTATGAATGTTGATAAGAGTTCTTGCTTTTTCTCAACTTTTATTTTGGCGGAAACGCGCAGGAAGACCTCAATGCTTATTTTTGTTGACAACAGCAGATTTATAAATGAGTCTCATTACGAATATGTCGTACGTATGGCATTGTCACATGCCTTGTAAAAATTCATAAAAATGAAACACTGTTTCAGTGCAGATATCCCTTGCGCTTTGGAATTTGAACCCTGGTTAACAAACAGATCTGATGCAAGTTCGTGCAGCACTGTCAGAATACATGCAATTCGTGCGTGTATTATAAAACATGACGTTTTGCAGTTTATTTACTAATTGTTTAAGGACATTTTGCCATTTAAATCATCATACAGTAACCAGCAACAATCACCCCTTCCTCTTCTCATCGAAGACATGCAATGCAGTCCTAAACAGTCGCTCGCTGTCGGTGCTTATAATGATTTTTGTGTCTTTCTCCGACAGTTTAAATGCTTCCACACTGCTGACGTGTGTGCTGCATAATAAAGAGTGCGTGCCTCTCACTCTGCGCTGGTTGCTATTTGATATCATTGTTCGGTACAATTTATTCAGTCTTTTCGCTTATTAATAATATTTGAATAATTTCGGTTGCCGAACATTCGGTGCATCCCTAGTCACCAAAGTGATTTGGTTTCCCAATATTCTTCAAAATATCTTATTTTGTGTTTCACAGAAGATGGAAAGTCATAAAGGTTGAGTACGGTTTCATTTTTGGGTGGATTATCCCTTTAATGAAGAACAATTAATGGTTCACACAAATAAATGAATCATCCTCAAGTTTTGAAAATTGCAAATAAAGCAGATGAACTATCAAACAGCGGATTTGATTGTGGGAAAAAAGTGAGTGTGAATGAACCAACCAAGATATCAAAAGTCACGTCAAGAGATGATGACACTTAAAACATGTACTTTGTGGATTTTATCAAAGTTTTAACAATTCTTTTTTGATTGACTGGTGCATGAGATCTTAGATAAAGGGCAAGATTATCAAGAAGACAAATTGATTTTTCTCATCAAAAAAGGAAACCACTCTATGCCAGTCTCTCATTTAGAAGAGTCTGAAAGCTAGTAAGTAGTTAAAAGGAAATAACTTGAAATTAGAGGGTACTTTACTTCTTATAAGACCTTGCCATTTCAACACAGATTGCTTACATATATTGGTGAAATGTTGTTATAATGTTAGTAAAGAATAGTTTCACAACAACACATTGAGACAAGAAAGTTAATCTAAAAGACAATGTCAAAAAGGGAAGTTGATGCTTGTTCCACAGGAAACACAAGAGCTGCACTTTCACATACATAAAGTGTTGCAGGAATTAACAGTAATAAATGCTGTGCTTGCAGCATACAGCAAATACATGTGGCAAAACTGTTGCAAACATCTAGGCCTAACGGTTTGTAAAGAACTGCTGTGAAAATGGTAAAGAAACTCACAGTCCAGCTGGAAGAACATCCACTTTAAGTTCAAACATGAAGCGAAGAGCCTCTGTCAGCAGCAAGTCCACAAAAGCAGAGAGAATCCATGCTCCAAAAAGGAAGGACTAAACATCATAATCAAAAATATGACAATGTTTTAGATTTATATATCCTCAATCTGTTCGATTATCCCCTTCTTTATCTGCATTCAAATCATCCTTGAAAACATCTCTCTTTTCTCAGGCCTACTTATAATTTAGCTATGTTAAATTCCTAGTCTTGATTCTTATTTGGTTTTATGGTTTAAGCTGTTTGATATATATTTTAACTCTGTATTTCTTTATGACTGTCTTCATTTTTTGGTTTCTGTGAATAACCTCGGCCAGCAATTATGTTGTTTTAAGGTGCTATATAAATAAAAAAAAAACCTTGACCTCGATATATATATTATACATATATCATCATGGGATTTTAACAACAACAAAAAAAAATCAGCATTTGAATGTATAGTAGGCAGGCATATGAAAGGAAATGTTTGGTAACATATGAAAGGGCTTTTGATTTCATTAAAAAAATTATGATTGTGATTATTTTTGTTTATAACATTTTAACAGGATACACATCATGAATACTAGGCTTGGAGAGCAACACCTCACCCCCTTAAACAGTTTAAAAAAATGAGTCAACTGATTGCCAGATAAGATTAAGGCGTTCCAAGTTTCCATGTGACCTTCATGCAACTTAAGTTTAACTGGTTGGAACTGGTTGCAGCACTATATAGTTTTTTATTTATTTATATGCTCTACAATTTTATGTAGAGAATGTTTTTTAGTAAATGGGTGGAAATCTTAAATTATTTAAGGATAAAATTATTAAAATTATTTTATTTTCATTGTCTATGGTTCTCAATTCCAGTCCTCGCATACCACCGCTCTGCATATTTTGCACGGCTCTCTTATTTAATTAACACACCTGATTCAGAAAACCAGCTTGTTAGAAGAGAGCTCCATGCATGAACTGTGTTCCGATTGACATGGTCCCTACACGGTGCTCACTGCTACCTACTCCCCGAGCACGGGAAATCAGTTGAAGTTTACTTCACTTCGGAACATTCATTCACGGATTTGCGCTATGCCACTTCCTGCAGCGTCTTCACACACAGACGAAACTTACTAGAGAAGTGTGAAATAATACACCTCTATAAATAAATACAATTTAAATGGGCGTCTCGTGCACTTTAATGCCCTTTAAATGGAACATATACGCTCCCTTCGAACTGGAATCATGGTGGAATATCCTGTGATGTCCACTTCGCAGGGCATTTACGGTCGAATAGAACAAACGTCTGAAGTGATAAGAGACACACACAAAATGTGCAGAGCGGTGGAATTCGAGTATTGGATTTGAGAACCACTGGTCTATGGTATAACAAAGCAGAAGCATGTTATGTCAGTACTTCATAAACTCAGTGTATTGAAAAGGTCACTCGTCTAGAATACATTTTGCAATGTAATATATATATAAAAAATAAACATTGTGGGAAAAAATCAACAACAGGAAGACACACAACCGTGCTGCTATTCACACTTGAAACTTACAGCAAATTTGTGGCTGCCAAATCTTCTCTCAAAAATCCGAAAATTGTAGATAAGCAAACTACTGCAGAAAGTGTCTTTCAGGTCCAAGCAGACGAGTCGTCCACTCACCAGCCTCCAGAACTACAAGAGAGCCATGGAACACACACAGAATAATGGTGTTTAGAAATATTTCAAATAATGCTATTAGTTAAAAATAACAATCCTATAAAAATAAAAATCCTATAAAATGATCAAATTTCACCATTATATGTGAAATTTTTCCAGATGCTTGGGCTAGAGAACGACTGATAATGCTCTTTTATGACCAATCTGATATTTTTAAACCATCTAACCACCAATATACAGAAACAATTTTTACCGCTTGATTTCAAGTTTTTGCCACAATTGATAACTCACCAGCCTCCAGAACTACAAGAGAGCCATGGAACACACACAGAATAATGGTGTTTAGAAATATTTCAAATAATGCTATTAGTTAAAAATAACAATCCTATAAAAATAAAAATCCTATAAAATGATCAAATTTCACCATTATATGTGAAATTTTTCCAGATGCTTGGGCTAGAGAACGACTGATAATGCTCTTTTATGACCAATCTGATATTTTTAAACCATCTAACCACCAATATACAGAAACAATTTTTACCGTTTGATCAATTATCATTATACTACAACTAAGAACACATGCATTATGAATATTTTATTATTATTTCTAATTATAGCAATAAGAGTTATTTAATAATAGGCAAATATTCTAAATCAATACACAGTGTTAAATGTATACATCTGATATTGTGCACTGAATTCTTCAGGTGAACTGGTGTAATATCTCACCTGCTTGCCGTGCCTGACAGCCTGGAGGTTGTATATGAGCAGATCCTGGTACTGAGGCAGAAGCACAGTCAGCAGCACAGTGAGGACTGTAGGAAGCAGCAGTAAGCTCTTGGACAGGGGTGCTTTATCTATAAGACACAGCATGAAAGTTGTACTGTTAAATGTGTTGCCAAGGAAATTATAACTTCCACCACTGGTCCTGTCAGAGGATAAAAGTTAATATTACAAATGGGGGACCTATTAGTGCGTGATTATACGAGTACACCAAGTTCAGTCAGACATACTGGTTTATGTCACCACGGTACCTACAATTTCTTCAAAAAAATAAAAAATTAGAGGAACAGTTAAATTTCATTAAAAGGTTCACCCAAAAATGAAAATTTGCTGAAAAAGTACTCACACTCAGACCATGGGTGAATGGGTGCTGTAAGAATGAGAGTCGAAAGAGCTGATAAAAACATCACAATAATGCACAAGTAATCCAATACGACTTCAGTACATCAATTGATTTCTTGAGTTTTTGTAAAAGAAAACAAATACAAATACACATTTTGACTTCAAATGTCCATAATAATGTTTAAGATGTTAAAAACATCTTAAAGATGGATTTGTTTCTTACAAACATGCAACTTTTCACTTCACAAGACCTTAAAGGGAGAGTTCACCCAAAAATGAAAATTTGATGTTTATCTGCTTACCCCCCAGGGCATCCAAGATGTGGGTGACTTTGTTTCTTCAGTAGAACACAAAC